GTCATAATCCCAAAAGAATTTGGGGTCGGCTAGGGTTGTTAACGAGCCGAGCCGAGCCCGAACACCTAAAGCTCGAGTTCGGCTCGATAAGGAATTAGTGATGCTCGGGTTCGAGCTCGGAGCTCGACGAGCTTTACAAATGAGGCTCGTGTTTGGCTCGATAGGCGTTCGATGTTCGAACCGAGTGCTCGATCAGCTCGATAAATATGCCCGGACTTAAAATTTTAGGTGATGCTCGTTAATAGGCTCGTGCTCGAATGATTCGACAAGTATTCGATTCGTTAATAATCATATTTAAATCCATAAAATCAACTAATTATATTTAAATTTTAACATATATATAAATTATATTTATAATTTCATGTGTTCGATAGACTCGAGTTCGAACCGAGCCAAATACTACTATGTTCGAGCTCGGCTCGATTAAGTTTTCGAACTAGAAACTCAACTCGGGTTCGAGTTCGAAAGCTCGTTAAGCTCGGCTCATTAGGCTCGAAACCGAGCTCGAACTCAAATAGTGCGATAAAAGCTCGGTTCGTTAACAGCCCTAGGGTCGGCTAACATGGATCGATCTATGATATCGGTGCCAAAAAGAGAAGGCGGACAAGAAAAGGAAAAAAAAAGTAAGATAAAATGAATAAAATAAAGATACATAAATATAAGATAACAATAACACAAGAATATAACCAAGATAAAAGAAAAATAAATAAAAGAGCATAAAAAGCTAGAAGATAAAAATAACATAAGAATATAAAAAGATAAGGAAGATAAACGATAAAAGAAACAAGAGAGGAAAGGTATACAAGACATCAATCGTCCGCATGGATGTGCGCCCTTCACTTTGCTCTCTCCAAAGCCATACTCTCATCCAATCCAATAAGATGCATATCAGTTCTGATTACTCTAATCGAAGTCTGTTTGGGTCTTCCTCTCCCTCTCTTCTCTGACTCTTCTCCCCACCCCTCAAGTCGTCTAACAGGTGCATCACTCGGTCTTCTATGCACATGTCCAAACCACCGCAAACGAGACTCCTGCATCTTATCTTCTATAGGTGCTACTCCCACCTTTTGTCTGATTACTTCATTCCTCAAGCGGTCTTTTCTGGTATGTCCACACATCCAACGCAACATATGCATCTCTGTCACACTCATCTTTTGAATGTGGCATTGCTTCACCGCCCAACACTCTACGCCATACATTAATGTCGGCCTAATTACTGTTTTTATTCCTAAATAAAAGTAATTGTTGTCAAGTTTAGAATATATTGTCATGTTTAAAGTTTTGTAATGCCAAAATATGGAAGTAATTACACTTATTTAGAGAATAAAAATTTGAAAGTTCTAGTTTGGAATTTACAAACGTTTTTACTCATATTTAGAGCAATCTAATGAGGTCATTGATAATTGTGATGTCATTAGGTCTATTATTATTAATATTTGATATTAAGAGTGCTAATCTACATCTGTATTTATATACCGTTAGACAAACTATTTAGAGAACTATAAGGCGTTTGCATTGAAGGTGTCAATAGGAAAATGAATTGCTTAGGTGACTATCTTAACCTCAGCTAAAAGTTGGTATCCGTGTGATTGATGATCATCGGAGTAACTATAGTGTTCATCTCATTAAACTCTTATGAATAGTTCATTAAGTCTAGGGTCAGACCAACCCTACAATTTAGACACTCATTTGGTAAATTATGTGACATTTTCTTTAAATCTATGCACATTGAGTCTTTTGGTGAAAGTATGTGAAATGAGGCATAGTTTGTGTGGTCTCCAACACTTGAATAGATTCACAACAGTATGACTTACATATGAAACAAAATGTGATGTAGCTTTGGGGCGAACTTTTAGTCGAAATGGCATCAACATAAATTTTAACTTACTAGTATGATACTTTTTATAATCACTTATTTCATACACATCATTATTGTACAGAATGTTGCTATTTGGTTATTTTTATGAAAAGTGAGGTATTTATATGGTGTCAACTTTGACTAGTAAAAGTTGAGTAGATGTATTAAACTGTACTACTTTTTTAATAGAGTTGATCTCGCAAAGTTCATGCCTTGCCTTTATGTAATATGAAACTGATATTAATGTTTGGGAGTCAAATGAAAGATTTTTCTTTGAACACATGTAAATTGTAGTCCAAATTTGAGTCCATCATCCCTCCAAATACAACCTATTAAGATCAAAACCTCACAAGAATGGCTAGCTCATCTCTATCTCCTCTATTCTAAATTTTAATTCCAATAAACTTAAGTTCAAAATAGATAGCTCTCATTGCAAGATAAGGACGAGTAACACTTTTCTAAAATCTTCAATCATTTATTCTAGTAAACAAGAAAGCAACAGGCTTTGGACACATGAATGCTTATTCGAGTGAGTATTCCTATAAAAGAGGAAACATAAATTGTTGTAGGACTGTTTCAATAAAGGCCCTTCGATGCTTAGATAGAAATGTTTTATAGTAGGAAAGTGACCTCAAATGCTCTTATATGTTAGTTGAATAAATAGTGATGATATGACGAGAAGACTAAGTGATCTAAGAGTGTTGGGGGGCTAATTGCCCCAATTGAGGAGGACATGAAGTCTCATGTTATCTCTTGAATGTCAAGGTAGCCATAGAATTAAGGGAGATAAATTTATTTCTAATCATGAGACTACTGATAAGAGACTTGAAGGTTCATTATGTAGATTTAATACATATTTCATGATTAGATTCCTCCTTAATCATGAAGTCTCATCTTGGCTCTATTTTGGGTAATCGAGAAAACTTAAACATCGGACTAATTGTTGAAGGTGAAGCTACTGGTGATCACAACATGATAAGAGACTTGAAGGTTCACTCCGTAGATTTAGTACATGAGGGAGTTTTTGGTGATCCGGTCAACTCATTTCGAAGGATGAATTTCTTGGTCATGTCTCGGAGAATGACAAGAGGACTCGAAAATTTAAGATCTTTGGGATTCTGATTCAAATCAGGATATATGTCATAAAGCCTTGTTAGTTACGTCAGAGAACTCCTTGCCTACACAAAATTTGAATACTCAGAAAAACACGTACAAGAAAAGAAATCAACAATCGCATCTTATGAGGACTAGATCCCAATCACGTTTGGAGATTTGAAAACCTATCTAAGCTAAAAGGGTTTTTATGGGAAGGGATTTCTTGTTGTATTTTGGGTTGGGGTTCCTTTTTTTATTCTCTTGTTTGTTCCTTGCAAAAAAAGACGCCCTTGAACCTCATTGTTATACATGTCCCCCAAGTTGCCTTGAACACTTGAATCGTGTAATTGACGGTGTGTGGTGCGTGAAAAATAATAATAACAATTTAAGTAATGTTTTATGAACACGATATATATATGTGTGTGTGCAGAGTAAATTTTATTGACAGTGTCATAATATTGGGAAAAACTTTATTGACGGGATCGATTAACTGTGTTTATATTGACGGGGTTGATAATTAAATTTATTGACGGTGCATGGGTGCATATATAGTCTTAATAGTAATGCATTCATTCAAAAAAGAAGTTCCCACCTTTTTGTGTATGTTCCAAAACAAAGTTCTCATTTTCATAAAATAAAAATTAATAGGAAATATAATGTCACCATTAACCTTACTATTTATATGCCTTTTGTTTGATTTAACATAAATTAAGTGTATATTTAGGAAGTCAAAACAAAACTTTGTCTTGCATAAATATACGTGTATGTCAGTTGAGAACTTTTTTATGGAATGGAAGAAGTATTGTTGAATATCATTTACACATCTGCTTTAGAATACTGTTTTTTTCTTATTTGGTGTTGATGGATATATACTATCCTAGATCGGATTACCCGAGATGATGTATTTCTCGTATTGGGTCTAGTTCGCTAGATTATTCCCAACCCATGACATTCTCCAGGTCATTAGGGCCTTTATATATATAACTTGGTCTTGTAAAGGAGAGAAGGAGACATTCATTATCTTATGCACACATTATTTTCTTCATCTTGAGTTCTTCTCTCTAGAGCTTATATTGATATGGAATATCATCCATCGGGTGTTTATTTGATCAATAGTGAGAAAAGGTGATGCCAATTTCAGTTGAAATAAGTGGAGTTTCAAAGATGCTTATATATCTCTTTTATTTTAATTCTATTAACAAGATATATTTTGAAGGTTATTTTTAAAATGGAATTTTATTAGTCTAGGACCTGAAAGATAGACGAATTATCACTTCGAGACTTGAAAGATGAAATGTGTCGATATAGGATCCGAATGATGAAAAACTACCAGATTAGGACTTGAAATCTTGAATGATTGAAAACTATCAATATAGGACCTAAGTTTTCATGAATTATATTTTTATGTTTATTTCAAAATCTTTAAACATTATTTAATTATATTAAACTAAGAAACTTTTGTGAAGAAAATTTTATCAAAAATTAGCAATGGAATTAATAAAAATTTAAATAAATCAAAACCTATGAAAAGTTAGGTCCCAAATTGATAATTTTCTATCATTCTAGTCTTATACTGATACATTTTATCTTTCGGGTCACGGATTGATAATTCATCTATCTTTCAAGTGTTAAATTGATAATTCAACTCAAGAAGGAACACGATTCCGACTATCACAATTATATCTTCAATACATCAATTATTCTTCATGCACACTTCCCTTTGTATATGCAGAAAACTTCCAAACGTTTTCCATTCTTTTTTACATATTTTTAGACCAACTATATGTGCACACAATCAAAATGGAGGACATGCATAAAAACATGTATAAATGACTGGTATAAAAATGTGTACAAATGATGCACACAAAATTCTTAATAAATACTCTTTGTATGGTTCACAAAAGATCTTCATAAATTAATTATCTCATTTACAAACACATATCTTTTGTGAATCAGACAAATAGAGGAACAAATGAGTTACCCAAAATGGGGTATCTAAGAATAATTAATGAAACAAATAAGTTTTGATGGAAAAAACAGTTACATACAAATATTTTGTTTAACTGTAGCGGGCGGGGCCACTGGAGAGTGAAGACCGACCGCAAAGGCAAGAAAGTATGAGGATGCAACGGATGAAGTCGCCTGGAAAGCACCAAACCTCTTCTCTGCACTTTCAATTTCGTTTCCCGCTTTCCTCCCTTCTTCCTTTCCGCTCTCTCAGTCTTTTATCATCCGATGGGAATCTTTCATCAATTTATTTATTTATTTACTTTGAGGTGCCGTTAACTGAAAAAGAGTTGTTTGAGGGAGTGTTAATTCTTTCCGGGAAAATGCAGACAAGGTACATGGAAAGATCTTCCAGTATGGTTCGGGAAAAACGGGTTCTTAATCCGGGTTGCACCGAAGAATCTCAGCCTGCTAAAAAACGCCCTGCTCTTGCCAGGTAACTTCTGTTTTCAACTCATAAAGTTCACTAAAAACAAAAGGTTCACTTTTTTGGGTTTTCTTGATTTCGGTTTCTTTTGTCTTCTTGAGTTGCTGGAGCAAGATGAAATTTGCTTTCTTTGCACTCTAGAATTTGACACTGTAAACTGTTGACAATTATATGGACTGAACTCTTTCATTAGATTCAAGCTTGTGTATGTTAACCCTGATCTTCAGTCAAGATAGATGTTCTCTTAAAGAAGATTTACAGAGATTGTTATATAGAATATATATTGCCTGACTTTCTTCAATTCATTTGGATCTAAAATCCAAACCTGCCCTTGTTTCCTGATAGTTATAATATTTTGCTTAATTCTTGAGTGCACCTTAAGGCTATGTTTGGATCTAGGAAAATGAGGTAAAGGAAAATGCTAAGTTATTTTCTTATGTTTTTTGTTTTACCTTGGAAAATGCAAGGTAAAATATACTCCGTATGAAATAACGACCAATGACTAATATAAAGATAATGGATAAAAATAGGACTTTTAACACACAGTAACCATAATATTTACTATAATGACCATGGTTATTTTCAATTTTATACTGCATTGATGGTATACTCATTGTATTCTCTAAAGTCACTTTTTTTGCCTATAGTTTGTATATCATTAATATTTTAGAGAAACCCCCAAAAAGTATAATAAGATTAATATTTCTGGATTTTCAAAACATATGTTTAGATGCTCAGTATTCATAATAGAAGTAAATTCGAACAAATAATAAACATAAGTTTATTCAGTTTGAACCTTTGTCTTCAACACTTCATTTCCTTCGAAATTTCTTCTATAATTTCCTCTCCATTTTCCATGCCATAGCATTTCCCTAGTTCCAAACGCACCATAAAGCAATGAGGCGTTTATCCCATAAAGTATCATGAGTCGTTAAACTTGAATTGTTGCTGAAGATGATGTGCTTAATGCAGTGCGGTTGTTGAAGCTCTGAAGGTTGACAGTATGCAAAAACTTTGCTCATCACTGGAGCCAATTCTTCGCAGAGTCGTAAGATTACATGGCCATCCTGAAATCTGTGTGCTTATTATGAGATTACAACTTGACGAAATTTAGATCAACCATTGAACAATTCAGTTTTGTTCATACATATCTTTGTTTCTCCAATGGTTTATGTATTATGATGAAACCTGTGCTATCCCATAATTAAATTAGAATCTTAAGTATTATTCCAACGTGCATGTATAGATCATATATTTACGGAAAGGAAGAATAGAACTCTTCTTGAGCTAAATAATTCACTAATCACTACATTTGCTTTTATAATGTATGCACCAGGTCAGTGAAGAAGTGGAGCGCGCTTTAGCAAAGTTGGGCCATGCCAAACACAAGTCCAAGTAGGCTTCAATAGTTCAACTCAAAAACTATTTCAGATTTTCTGGACATGGCTTTTATCTCCCCCTCTTTGAATGACTCTTTAATTTTCTATAAGGAAGCTATATTGGTTAAATGGTTGGACTCCCTCCATTCAAACTAGGTGTTGAATTGGCCCATATTTACATTTTTAGGTGATACTAAAACTGTCCTAAATTTAAAAACGGAGTATACATTTATTTTGCTATGAATGCTACCGGTTAGAGGGCTTTGCTGCTTGTACTTAGGTATAGGTATAGTTTGGTAAAAAGCTGCAATAAAATATATAACTTTATAGTAAAATATATTTGGTCAGGTTGATGACAACAGCAGCTTTATCGTACTTCTTTCCAATTTAGTACTGAGTTTATTATGGCTTGCTGAACAGGGTTTCTCCAGAAAGAATAGAAGGGCGAGGTGTTAGAAGCTTAAAACTCCACTTTAGGTCCAAACTGTCCCTACCCCTCTTCACAGGAGGAAAAGTAGAGGGAGAACAAGGTTCGGCCATTCATGTTGTTCTGCTTGATGGTGAAACTGGATGTGTTGTGACATCAGGTCCAGAATCCTCAGCCAAACTGGACATTGTTGCCCTAGAAGGAGATTTCAACTACGAAGATGATGAAGGGTGGAGCCAAGAAGAGTTTGAGTCTCACATAGTGAAAGAACGTGAAGGGAAGAGGCCACTTCTTACTGGGGACCTGCAAGTGACCTTAAAGGAAGGGGTAGGCACCATTGGTGAATTGACTTTCACTGACAACTCTAGCTGGATAAGGAGTAGAAAGTTCAGATTAGGTGTGAAGGCTTCACCAGGTTGGCATTGTGAGGGCATTCGGATTCGAGAGGCAAAAACCGAGGCCTTTACTGTCAAAGATCACAGAGGAGAATGTGTGTATTTTGCACCTTTGTAAGTTAAACTTTAGTATGTAACATTAATATTAATTAACTATAATGGTGTTTCTTTTTTCGTATTTGCAGTGTACAAGAAACATTACCCTCCTTCATTGAATGATGAAGTTTGGAGGTTGGAAAAGATAGGCAAGGATGGATCTTTTCACAAGAGGCTAAACAAATACGGGATATATACGGTGGAAGACTTTCTACGACTTGCTATCAAAGACACACAACATCTTCGACATGTAAGTATTACTAAGACTTGGGCTTTAATCCATAAGGTTAACCTAATATAATGTGTAGTCAAGACTTTATATGTAAGAGTTAGCATGGATAGTAATACTTCCTTCTTGCACAGAAAGAAAGAAGCAAAATAAGCTATTTTTAATTCACTTATGGCAAATTTTCAGAAGGAAAAATCACAAAATGGAAATTTAGTATAACTGAAAAATATATTTAGAGTAGGTAGAATTGATGTTCTCCAATAGTTGTACCTTACTGACATTAAAGGTTGTGCCTTGGAGAAATGCAACTCTTTTATGGGACACAAACAGTGAGTTTTTTCTGTTGAGAAACTTTAAATTTGGCATGTAATTGATTTTTACTTATTATTATTATTATTATTATTTCATTCATAATATTAACTCAGATAATGGGAAGTGGGATGTCAAACAAGATGTGGGAAACTCTTGTGGAGCATGCAAAGACATGTGTTCTAAGCGGTAAACTCTATGTATATTATCCCGACGATACGAGGAATATCGGGGTTCTATTTAACCATATCTATGAATTTTGCGGACTGATTGCTGGCGGACACTATAATTCTATTGATTCTCTTTCCGATAATCAAAAGGTTTGCTTCAAACTTATACCGCAAGCAATGTTTCTTCTCATTCTGAAGTATTTGCATCACATTTCTCCTTCCATCTTCCGCCATCATCAGGGTTTATTTGGAACTCTGAAAAATGTAAGGGAAAGAAAGCATGGAAAAATAGAGGGGAATTTGGAAGCATAGAAATGAGGAATGGGTTAAAAATAGTTGAATTCCATTTTTTAAATATATGCTCACACTCATTTTTATTTTTATATCTTAACTGTAAAGATGGAGAAATCTGAAATTTAAATAAACAAATAAGTAAAACTTAATCAAACTTAATTATCCTTTATATTTTTAACGCTATACAAAACATAACAAAGCTATTTTCCTTAGCTTTTTTCTCTTTCCCTACCATTTCAGCATTCCAGACATAGTATTACAACTCTTAGAACGTAAGCTTGACTATTAGTGAATCCATTTCTTGGCAGGTGTATGTGGACAGCTTAGTGAAGAAGGCCTATGATAATTGGATGCATGTGGTTGAATATGATGGCAAATCGCTCTTAAGCCTCGATAAGAGTTCAGTTTCTTCTCCAAATGACCCCCTACTTGCCTCGCACAACCTCTCACACTCTCTCCCTAATCGCCTTTGTCTACCAACTCTCCCGTCTTCATGTCAGCCGTCTGTGGCCCTGGAACCACCAAACGTTGGAGGTGAAGTTTCAAACAAGATCTTATTCTAAGCTAGTATTCTACTACTATGTATTAAGTATTACTAATAGTTTATGTTAGTGTTGCACATCCTAAAACTAAATAGAGAATGATTAATTAATAAAATATTGTGCTGAACTATCTAAAAGAATGGATTTGAGTTTGTAGTGTGCTTTGGCCCGAATGCCTTGTGGCCTAGTCGAGTAACCCCTATCTAATTCTGAACTAATTGTGGTATCAAAGCAGGTTTTGACGCACTATGTATATCTCCTTGTGTGTCTTGAGTCCATCCTGAGCGGCCTATGAGTCACATTTCGAGTTTTAGTTTTGGAGGGAAGGCAGTTCAATGTGCAACCAGACCTTAGGTTGAACTAGGCAACTGGCTAACAAATTTGATTCAATCTTTTTATATGGTTTGACCTGCCCAAGTGCCTTATGGTCTAGTTAAGTGACATCTACCAAATTCTGACGGTTTATTTGAATAAAAAAGTATGTTCTATGCTCCACAACAAGCTCTTTGAACATTTTATTTCCTCTATTTCATCAGGGTACAATGAAAGTTTGAGTGGGAAAGTCGCAATGCAGTCTCACGGCTTTCACCAGAACATGAGTCGCATAAATGTTCCTTTTGTGAATCAGTCTATGATATGTACGCCACCACTGACTACGATGGCTCTTACACCTCAACTGCCTTCAACCTTAAAGAATTTTCTGACTCCAACTGCCACATTAAACTTCCCTTGTGATCATAATAACTTCTTGACAGAGGAAGAATTAAGGTTAAGGAGTCATGAGATGCTTGAAAATGAAGACATGCAACATCTCCTCCGTACTTTCAACATGGGTGGCCACCATACTCACGCTTCTACTACCAGTAATCATAATGATGAGGATGTCAGAGAAGAAGAGTGTCGCAACAACCCTGATCCTTATGCATCATCATCAAAATACACTGTGATGATGTCATCACCCAATATGCTTTCATCGACCTATCGGTTTGGCGAAGATCATCGGAGGTCATGTTCATCATCATCATCATCATCATCATCGCCTTTGGGAAAAGCTGTTGTGGGGTGGCTGAAGCTTAAAGCAGCATTGAGATGGGGAATCTTCATTAGAAAGAAAGCTGCTGAGAGGAGGAGGTGGAAAGCGCAAATTATTGAACTGGATGATGATGAAGAAAATAGTTTTTGGTAGTTAGATACACAGATCAATAGATGTGTGTGTGTGTGTGTTGATAAGTTGTTCTTACTTAGTTCCACTTTGCTGCTTAGTGTTGATGAAGGCACATTGTACAGAGATTGCTCTCTGCCATCACCAAAAATAACAAAGGACATTCTCATCACAAATTCACAATTCAATATCCTTGAACTCTCTCTCTCTCTCTCTCTCTCTCTGGGTCCTCTTGGAATGCAGAAAATGCTAGACAGAAAATAGATGAGATCTTTTGAAGGAAAGAAAATGTTGAAAGAGAGCACCGGTTCAAACTTTAAAAATTTATGTTTATTTGTTTATTTATATGTATTACATAAATACTAATAAACTGAAGCATGTGTAAGAATTTTGTATAGATGAATCTCGCTTTGCAATTTTGTAAGCTTAGATGATACTACGTATGTTTTTTCGTAAACATATAGTCTATGTTAAAAAGATGACTCTATTTGTCATTTTTGTATTGTTGTTAGTTACATGCTTAAGTTATCTTCCTGTTTTTTTTAGGAAATGGAATTAGCTTAGTTTTAGACCTTGAAGTCTTTTCCCTTGATGGAAAGAAAAAAAACACTTGATGCACACAAGAGCCGGCTTATATAATTGGTTTACATATTGTTCAAGTTGTGACTAATATGTACTCCAGTCTCAACATATGTATGTGTTTATTTAAAAAAAAAGTTGACAAGTTTAACCAATTCATCAATAACCTACTCAAGAGCTGTTTACATTTTCTATTAAATCATATCTAGACTATTTATTTTGTGTTAAAGAAACAATCTAAATTGAATAAAATAGTCCATTTAATATTATTGTTAGGTTATATTGTGGACAAGTAATTTCATTTTAACATACATTTTTTTTCATTTGAACATAACATTTTTTTATTTTAACATACATCTGTGATCTGTTACATGGCCAGTTTAAAAATAGGTTGAATAAACGTCTTATTAAGCGTCTTAATGAACAGGAATGCCATAAGAAAACTTATGATTCAGACAGCTTTTGACTGAATAAACATGCCGTGTTTTCATTTAAGTCGTAAGTAAACATAACTTACTAATTGAACCATTAAATCCATCAAGTCTCAAGTAACACCCCCCTGAACAAGCAAAGTTTAGGAAGTTGGTGATGGATGGAAAACCTATTTGAACATGCAGTACTTTATCAAACCAGGCCCAAGTATTGCTGAAACTGAATTCCTATTCCTCTCACTAAAATATGTGCATTTTCTTAACTTTTGCGGTTTATAGGACAAAGGTTAAAGAATTACATCACTTTCAAATTGAGTATAAACATTTTTCAGTATGGTTTTTACACAAGGACAAGTGAAAGAAAAGAATACATAAACTTTACATGGAATCACACTATGGCCTCTTCACTCTCCCTCCTCATCTTCATTGTCTTCCTCCTCATCTTCATCCAGGATGTAAACCAGAGCACGTTTTCTTGCAGCAAAAACACAAGCCACCCCTCTTGAAGCTGTTAATGAAACATGAACGAATCAGCTAAAAAAACTCTGTATACTTTCAAACAACTAAGTAACTAACAACTAATTATTATTACCAAACACTTATGAATAAATAGCTAAAGTAATTCATAAGTAAACCTTTGTCAAAACGATTAATACAAACAACTAACTTCAAAAATCTAATGTCATCAACTACAACTAATGCAAAACAGATAATTGCTAAACGGTGCCTAAAAATATAGTAATCCTAAAAGGAAAATCAGTATACATCACTCACCACTTACTGCCAGGGGTGGTATAACAGGGTGAGGTATTCCTCGAACCTTTTCACTTTGCAGTGTAAGCTGCATGAAACAGTCCTACAAACAAAAAGAGTAAACAGAAGGCCATGTGATAATGACGAGTAAAACGTTAAACATGGCTCCACAACAGGGTCTGTTTGGGATCTGGAATATACTAAGGAAAGAAAGGGGAGGAAATATAGGTGAAAAATGGAAGACAGGAAATTTATGGATAAATAAAAAATTGGTTAGTTCAAATAATTAATACTATGCATTAGATATATGGTCAAAGTCTCAAACTATATATAATATATATATATATATATATATATAGACACACACACATATATATACATACATATATAGAGAGTGGCGTTCCTGTCCAGCCGGCCTGATGGGAACCACCGTCCGGCCGTGGCCATTTTGGGCCCTTCCTGGTGGAATTTTTTGATGATTTTTTTAGAGCATCTTCTTCATCAAGTCTAGTTTACACAAACCAAATTTCAGCTAAAAATTCAATCGAGAAGGCAGTTAAATAATTTTTTTAGGAACACTGCGCTTTATATATACTACCTTCATCCCTTAAAACTTTACCAAGTTTGACCGGCACGAAGACTAATAAAGTAAAAAATGTGTGGTTGAGATTTGTGCAGATGAGAGAGAATTATCTGGAACCTCAAATTATTTACTTAAAAGGGAAAGTGTCAAAGTTAGTGGGACATCCAAAAAAGAAAAGTTAGCAAAGTTTCAAGGGACAAAGGGAGTATATATAAATTACACATTTGATTGCCTTCCTGATTGAATTTTAGCTGAAATTTAGTATGGATAAACTAGATTTGATGAAGAACATGCTCAAAAATTTCATCAAAAAATTCCACCAAGAAAGGCCTCAAAGTTCCTGTCAGGCCGGCAGGACATGAATTGTCCTCTATATATACATACATATACTGGTTCAATACTCCATGGAGGGAGTTTGAGCCCAGTTTACCCAAGGCCCCCAGCCTCTTCCCATTTCCCCCGGGGTATATATACCCCGGGGGAAATGGGAAGAGGCTGGGGGCCTTGGGTAAACTGGGCTCAAACTCCCTCCATGGAGTATTGAACCTGGGACCTCCCACAAGGGAGAGTAAGTCGACGACCAATTAAGCTAGAACGCTTCCTCAAACTATATATATAGAGAGAGAAATGCTCCTGTCCAGCAGTTCGGACAGGAGCAGCCGTCTGAACGCTGCCGTTTGGGGCAGTTCCCGGTGGAATTTTTTATGAAATTTTTTGAACATGTTCCTCATCAAGTCTACTTTATCCACAAAATATTTCTGCTCAAAATTCGATCGGTAAAGTAGTCAAATAAATTTTTGAAGTTAACTGCGCAAAATTATACATCGAAAACGCAGTCAACTTCAAAAAAATATGTGACTGCTTTCTCGATCGAATTTTGAGCTGAATTTTTTTGTAAATAAACTAGACTTGATGAGGAACATGCTCAAAAGTTTGATAAAAAAATCACTGGGAAACGCCCCAAACGGAGGCATTCAGACGGAGGCTCCTGTTCGAACTGCTGGACAGGAGCATCTCTCTCTCTCTCTCTCTCTCTCTCTCTCTCTATATATATATATATATATATATGAAAATGTTCGTGTAAGGTACGCCTAAAAGTTACTACCTCCGTCCTGCAAAGAAGTTCCCACTTTCCTTTTATGGATGTCCCAAAAAGTTCTCATTTCTACAAAAGGAAACCACTTTTAACCAAAAAGTCACAACTACCCTTTTTACCCACTTTTTGTTTGATTTGACATAAAGTAAGTGTATACTTGGAAGGTCAAAACCAAACTCTACCTTACATAAATATGTGTGTAGGTCAAACTAGGAACTTCTTTGCGGGACGGAGGCAGTACAATTTTAGGCCTCTTTCATTTGAGCTGCTTCCAGGTCGAATTTTTTGATGAAATTTGGTGAGCATGTTCTCCGTGAAGTGTAGACTATGTCCATCAAATCTTAGACTAAAATTCAATCGGAAAGTTAGTTAAATAAATTTTTGAAAATTGCACAGTTTTTTAGGCCTAAAACATGCAGTTTTTTCAATAATTTATGTAACTAACTTCCCGATTGAATTTTATTCTGAAATTTGGTGGACATAATCTACACTTGATGGATAACATGCTCACAAAATTTCATCAAAAAATTCGACCGAGAAGCACCTCAAATGAAAGAGGCCTAAGAATTGCAACTCTTAGGCCTTCCTTACATGGACATTACCCTATATATATAATATATATATATATAATATATATATAGAGAGAGAGACGTTTTCGTGTCAAGCCTAGTCTGACGGGAACCGCTGTCCGACCGAACCTGTTTGAGGGCCTTCCAGGTTGAATTTTTTATAAAATTTTTTGAGCATGTTCTTCATCAAGTCTAGTTTATACCCACCAAATTTAAGCTAAACTTCAATCGAGAAGGCAGTCAAATAAATTATTTAAGAACACTGTGCAGTTAATATATATAAACAGTGCAGTGTTTCTTAAAAAAATCATTTGGCTGCATTCGCGATTGAATTTTTAGCTGAAATTTGGTGGGCATAAACTAGAGTTGATGAAGAACATGCTCAAAAATTCCACCGGGAAGGTCCTCAAAAAGGCTCGGTCGGACAGCAGTTCCCGTCAGGCCGGCCTGACATGAAAACGTCTCTCTCTATATATATATAGGGTAATGTTCATGTAAGGAAGGCCTAAGAGTTACAATTCCACCGGGAAGGTCCTCAAACAGGCTCGTCTGAACGGTTGTCCCGGTCAGGCCGGCCTAACATGAAGATTCATCTATGTGTGTGTGTGTGTGTATAGAGAGAGGAATGATCCCGTCCAGCAGCCCCCGGTCCGAACACCGTCCGAACATCACCATTTGAGGAACTTCCCGGTGGAATTTTTTGATGAAGTTTTTTGAGCATGTTCCTCATCAAGTCTAGTTTATTCATACCAAATTTCAGCTCAAAATTCGATCGGGGAGGCAGTCAAATCATTTTTTGAAGTTGACTGCGTTTTATATTGACTGCCTCCCCGATCTAATTTTGAGCTGAAATTTGGTATGGATAAACTAGACTTGATGAGGAACATGCACAAAAAATTCCATAAAAAAATTCCACCGGGAAGTGCCCCAAATGGCGATGTTCGGACGGTGTTCGGACAGGGAGCTGCTGGACAGGATCACTTCTATATATATATATATATATATATATATATATATATATATATATATATATATATATATATATATATATATATATATATATATATATATAGGGGATGGTTCAAATAAAAAGAGGTCTTAACGTGCAAAGTGAAAAGTTTACACTTTTTCATGTTTCGCTTGCACTTTTTCATGTTTTCGTTGCACTTTTTCGCGATAGCTCAAAAAAATTGGTTTATTTACAAAACTGCCACCGTCATTTTGGCCGAATTTGGCCAAAATCAAAATGGCCAAAAAGTGCAACGCAAACAACAAAAAGTGAAAGCGAAACATGAAAAAGTGCAAACTTTGCACTTTGCACGGGAAGACCACTTTTCATTTGAACCATCCCCTATATATATATATATATATATATATATATATATATTACAAAAGGCAAGGAATCTAATCATATTTTCCAAGGTCAAGCCGAATACTAAAAACCACGTTTCTTAGTGTTTCTCCTCTTTCCCTACAATGTTCCTTAGTGTTACTCTCCCCCCATCTTTCAAGTCCTAAGAGGACAGCTAATCACAGCTATACACAATTACCTTTGTTAGGGTAAGACTAAGAACGCAACAAGAAAAAACACATCTATCTATGATTATCTATCCATCCCAGCAGTATGTTTTACTGCACGTATCACAGAACAGTAATTTTTTACCTTAAGTTCAAGAAGCTTCCATGAATTCAGACTTAAAGATCTTCTTGAAATAGATATAAATGGGATGTCCGCAGCTTGGAGAATCATCATCATAGAAGCATTTCCACATATCTCAGAACCAGTGCTATTTTTTTCTTCTAACAATAAAACAAGTTGGGCATCCTGTTTTAAATGGTAGAAATGTTAAGTTGCATTGTTGCCTTCATACAGGAAGATCAACAATGGTGTAAAGAAATATTTTACCTTATATAATGATAAATCCACACAGTGGTAGCCATCAGGAATGCATAAGAAGGAAGCTTCTAATGAAGCATGCACATTGTCCGAATTGCCCATATCAAGTATGGCCCCCCTCACTATGCCAACACAATTTGATATACTTGAGCTGGAAGAATAAGGTACTCTGAATGAAATGTAGTCAATAAGCGTATGTTGACTTGTTTCACAATCAGAAACCTCATGCAAATCTTCCTGTGCAATAGAAAGCAGTGATAATAACATATTTTGGTTGCTCGATATAACCCGGATAACAGCCTAAAGCACAATTGAAGGGGTGCACTTCATGAAGTCTACATAGTATACTATAGCCCGTTTGATAGGCGTCATTTTTGTCTTATCAACCTTGTAAGGGCGTTTTCTTACCAATCACTAACTCATTTCATGCAATGGCTGGGCGTTGGGCTAATGGAAGTGTTTTTTACCAAACACTTCTACTTTTAATTTTAGATTATTGTCTTTATTTAGTTGATGATCTATATTTAAACATTTTTTAAGATAATTCAAAAGATTCAACTATTTCCACTACACCTTCAGCAACTTCACTGGAATCAACCACCTCAAGTTATTTAAGCTTTACCAAATGGGCTCTTAGATAGTCTGTAAGTAAATACAGGAAGTAGAAGTACCTTGTAATATGATATGGATGCCGGGATTATGGGGGACTCGAATTTTGAAGCAGCCATAGGAAAAAGAGGGAGCAGATCCTTACATTGTATTTTCTTGGAAATAGTAGCAAAAGGCATCTGAAAAGCCTCCTGGAAACTGCAAATTGCACTTCATGAAATTAAACTACTAAAACCACTGAACCAGGGAACAGAAATGCACATGATGTATCCAATAAAATGCCTTCACACATATCAGGCGAGTACATGTTTATTTGCAGTTCTGCACAACTGTTACGGAGTTAATTGCATAATTTGAAAAGGGTTGAATACGAAGCACTCAAGGAGAGGCAGTGATGGGTGATTTGACCGAAATGATAAGAGGAACATTTAACGAGAACAGAAAGCTAAAAGAGTGGTGTACCAATACTCCATGCGTTGAAACTCTTCCGCTAACGTCCTTTTCAAGAATCCAGTATCTAAGAATCCACCAAAATGTGACAGCTCTTTAATTCTTTGCAATGTTTCCCTGATGCAAAAAAACAGTTCTTTGTTGGAATACATTTTCCAACCAGCCCATAATAAATGTGACTTTAAGGAAGAAATTATGTGTATAGCTTAAAATATTAAAACCATTATCTTATGTTGAAGTTTGAATCGGGTGAAAGCACAACTTACAAGTCTACTTCTATGGCATGATCACCTTCAGGCAATTCTAGCAACTGTTTGATAGGATCTTGGTCATAGAGAAACTTGAGGAATATAATGACAAGCTCACTGCTAAACATCATTCGAAAGATTTCAACAAAGAAATAAAGAATTTTGAAAACCATTTTCAAAATCATCCAGAAAATTGGCCAAGAGGTGAGAAGGAAGCGCACATTAAAAATAATGGATTCCAAACCTGCTGAATGGCTGGAGCTGATCACTTTGTTCAGACATCAGAATCTTCACAGATTTCAGAAGCCAACTGAAAAAGTTTGAGAACTGAAGTAAAGACGATTAGAATGGTAACAATATTAATTTAAAGACAAGAGCAGAACTACCATAAACCAAGCCATACCTGCTGGATGACAGTAGACAAAACCCTCATGAACCGTTCAACTTGTATAAGAAACATTCCAGTATTTTCTGTCGCATTATCCATTAACTTCTCATCCAAACCAATACCTTGAAAACGAGCACGCCATTTGGAAAGGGCTTGAAGTTCTCCGATTCTAAATCCAATAATTTCTGCAGCAGGCTGGAAACAAGTGCTTTAGAGTTAAATAAATAGCTTCATTGGCACCACTAGAAAACTGTTTTGAAACTTGAAAGATGCAACAAACTAAGAAAAGTTAACACATGTGGAAATTACTAAACATATGTCTCATTTGGAAGGTAAGCTACCTTCCAAATCTTGCCAAAAGAAAGCATGATTATATTTTTTTTTTGCTTATAACCAAATCTTGCACAATCAATAGCGAAAACTATAATAAGATGGCAACAAAAGCACTAACATTGATTTCTGAGCAGGAAGAAAGTGACTTAGCAGTTAAAGCTTCAAGTTAGACCTATTAGATTCATGTGAGCTAAGGCTTCAAATAACTCTTGAAAGCTGTTGTGTCTTGAAAATGCATGCCAAATTTAGTTATAATCCAGAGAATATTACTTTGGCACAATATAACACTACAAGGTAGAAGAAAGGTTAGAGGCACCTGTAGATGATCATGCACTACCAGTTGAAGCTCTTTTCCAGCAAAATTAATCGCCTTTGCTACCCTCTTAATGCCCTGAAAACGATTACAAGGTAAAGTATGGATGACTATTAATCAACACTCTGTCAAACTTTTAAGCAAGAGGGGGTTACCGCTTCACCAAGTGAGTTGACTAAAAATTGATGGATGGCTGGACTTGTTCTTGCACCACCTAAAAGGCTCAGAAACTCCTCTCGAGGACTGGACTCGACTCCTTTGAAGAAGTGGCAAGAAAAAAAATGGATAGTAAGTAAGTAAAAAGGTCATCAAATTTGTTTAGCCTTCAAAAATTTATAGATTACCATGGTCAAGAATTAGGGAGGATAAAGCATTGAACTTTCCATTAAAAGTGTGCATGGCATCAGACCACTGCTTAGACATGACCGATAGTGATGCCCGAATAACTTCACCTAAATCGTCAATGTTAGAAGCCTGTTGAGCCACCTGATAAAGCTCATTTTTCCTAAAACCAGTTTCCAAGGTACAACAAAAGAAATTGTGTTAAAAGAGTAGAAAGTTGTCTTTATAGTAATTGTTCTTTTGGCAAAGTTGTAGTTTCCTGTTTTCATTAGATTTCCTATTCCTATTGGATTTATCCCATTATTTTCTCTATAACAATTGTAATAGTATTTAGAGAGTGTGAAGTCAAAAGTCATATCAATAAAAGGTGCTATGTATTATACTATTAGGATGTTTTTACTTGGACTTATTTCAACCCCAGACTAGACCAGTTCAGACCAGACCAAACTTTGGCAATTGTAAAATACACAAAGACCAGACATCTACCAGACCAAACCAGGCCAGTTCGGACCAGACCAGACCAAAATAAATTCAGTTCAAGTGAAAACATCCTTATTCTCATCAAATGTAACTAAATACATAGATTTCAAGAGGAATGCGTTCAGTACACGAAGTTAATATGCTGAATGTAATTCCATTGGTTGGAAAATGACAGAAACTTTCACAAACATATGCTGATTGGGGGTTACCTTTTGGAGAAAATTGAAGTGTCAAGAACAAGGCAATGGAACCCAGTTAACAGGTGACTAGGCATCTGCTTTGCCCCAACTTCAACACTAGTTGTGGAGAGGTCTCCGTTGCACATGACTACCAAATGACAAAGATCTTTTGACATAGCAACCTGTGAAATGAGAGGAAAAAAGTAGTGTTCCTGAGATGTCCAACTATCAACTTTAGCTTTTAGTCGAGATGCAACACATCCTTCAATCAGGTCAAGGAAGTGGCTTTTTGCAAATTGCAATACAAGAATTTTCTAGATTTTCAAGCATCAGTCGTGTTCCATTATTTGCATGTTGAATTGTTGATTTTAAAATATCAATAATGTAATAGGACATGATTATAACATCTATCTCAATTCATTGCTATATCATGATATTTTCCATGCAAGTGTGAAAAACCTATGTTGATGACGGTTCTGGAATTTCATCTCATTTTCCGATCTATTAAGGATGTGATATGAAGGAAAAGTGATGTAACTTTGCACTATGATTTGTTGCAAGGTTTTATAGTGTTAAAAAATTGTAGACTATTAAATGACAATATATAATTAATTTTCATGCCACTGACCCTATCATAGTTAGACGGAGGATTATAATTTTATGAAAGCATTACATGTATCTTTCATTTTATTAGGATGTGTGCCATAAAAGGGTTCTTTAATCGTATGTTTTGCCAGAATAATAAACTTTTGTTTGTAGTGGTTTTGTAACGAGCCCCCCTTCTCCAGTTTCTGTTTCATATAAGATGAAAACATAAAAACATTACATGTCCAGATTGAGAACATAATGAAAATTTTCCTTAAAACTACAGAACTAAAAGAAATTTAATTATAATAATAGAGTAGAAGAAATGTGCAATGAAAAATAAAACAATCAAACAGAACTTAGTATCTTACATCACAAATGGAAGCATTCAAGAGTCGTTTATTCACATGGATCCCCGGAAACACACCATCGACAATAAGATCGTGTAGATTCTTGAGCGGCGTTAAATATCACATCCACAAAGAGGAAAAATACATTAGATGCTATTTCCAAATGAATGCCCATATATGTAGTTGGCAAATTAGCTAGGAGAACTTGTAACACACTTTGTGAAATATTAGTTGCCCCTATTCTAATGATTAACTTACAATTTTCCCAATTGGGAAAATGCCAAAAATACTGAAACAAATGTTTCCATCTTTGTCCCCACTGCATAAGATGTTATATCGCTGATATGAAGAATTTGATAGCTCTCTGTATGTATCTTCAGCCTCATCCATGAAACTACTATCCGTTGGTACAAGTCCAGGCATCCTGGGAACTCTTGGGGGAGGTGGAAAGAAACGTGAGGTGCGGTCTTCATAATTTGATATGTTACTGGTCTCATCCTGAATTCCGTGTGATTATAATGGTAAAATGGGCAAAGAAGAAAACAAGACAGAATTTAGAAGACGAATATTGTACATAAAGAATGGATAAAATGAGATTCTGAGCAAAACTGTTCGATAAAAGGAAAATAGGAAATTAGTGAGGATTTGGGAGTCATTTTTTATATTGTGCAAGAGTTAACCATATAGTCATCAGTAAAGAGAAAAGAAGTGAACCAACCTTTTTTTCATCTTCCTCCCAATTGAGACATAAAACAGCAATTGTGTGGGACTTTACGCTTCTCAGAAGTTTTCCATTCTGCTTACCATAAGACACACAATGTGTGATGAATCAAGGAAGATGAGTGTTTATAACTGCCATTGTACTTATAAGAATAAATTTAGGATGAGGTTATGACAGCATAAAAGAAATCAATCTGACTGGTAAGATAATCATGTTTGTTCTGTAACTCATCTCTCTAGCAAAACTTAGCCTCTACCCATTTTGAAAATTTGCCAATGTGCAAATATACCAAGTGCAAAAGATAAACCAAAAATGAAATTTCCTAATAGAACATGACTAAGAAGCTATCTCAACTCATCGCTGTATCATGATTTTCTCATAGAAGCGGGAAAACTATTCAGATAAAAATGTCTATGAAATTTAATCTCATTATGGCTTCATAAGAAAGTTTCACCAAGAAGGACAACGTACATAAAACTGTCACTGTGCTTTGAGCATGAATGAATGACTTTAGAGTGTGATAAATTTCGAAATTAAATAAAAAAAACAAAATTTCTAGAATAGCAGCTTACTTCCACATCATGCAATGAAATGGTTCCATCTTCAAGCCCAATGGCTATTTCTTTTCCATCTGGGCGCCAGCATAGGGATGTAATGATCTTTCCTATATATAAAGCAAATAATTCTGTAAGAAACCAACTCTGGACACTATTAAACAACAGTATGAAAATTATTTGTAAGTTCTTATTTTTCCTCCTTACAAGATGAAACATCACTGAAATGGAGTGTGAGAAACATTAACACTCCATTTGCAACAACAAAAATCGAGTAGTCAATTAGTCAATGATAACTGCAGAATTGCTAACAGCACAAACTACTTCCTCCGTTCTTAAATAAATGAAACTGTCAATATTTAACACTTGCCGAGACACAACTTTGACCATTAATATAAATGATTTTGTATTAGTAAAAAAAATTAAAAAATTAGATTATGAAAATTTACAATGGGACAAGTTTAACAATATTTTTTTCATAAAATAATATTATTACATTAATAAATAAAACGTAGTCAAAGTAGAACATGTGAATAGTGTAAAAGTCAAAGTGTTGAATTTATTTAAGAACGGAGGTAGTATTAAATAATTCTTATTACTGAAATATAAAAAAGGAAACAGTATAGTGTAGGGTGTGTACCAGGAGATATAGTCCAGAGTCTCTGCCAATTGAAACGATGAAGAAGCAGCTTAGATTCCTCTGTAACCATTGCAAGAAGATCCTTTTCTGGGTTCCATTGAGCTAGCCTTATCTGTGAACCAGGATTTGAGAAGAAGAAGAATAAAAAGAAACAAAGGCTACAAAAAAAAATTAAACTTGCGTGCATTGTATTGAAAGGGGTGTATACCTGTGAAGCAATGGGCTTGTCGAATTGAAGCTGAAATGGAAGCGCTTTTTCTGTTTCACGTGTCTCCATTCTCAGTCTCTGTTTCTAGTCTGTTCTCTTTTGCAGCATTTTTAGAATTTTAGAATCGATGGCGGGCAATTTCTGGGCGTTATTTAGAGCAGAAAAAAAAATTAGGTTATGACGGGAAACCTTTATTTCATGGGGAATTGTATATGAACCCCTATCTTTTGGAACATTAAAAATTGGAGCAAATACCAATAACCACTTGCGTTAAATGAAAAATTAGGAGTTTGATTAAGTAAATTCTATGTTGCATGCTATCGTTTGAATAGAATATGTATTAAGGACTTTCTATGTGAATTATGTATTATGAGTCTATTGGCTCGTACTTGTAAACCCTACTTTATCCCTATTTATAAGAGTTTTTGGTAATGAGAACTCTACGAAGCATTCTCCCTATATCAGAGGTTTTCTTGTCAAAGATGGGTAGAATCGATATACAAAATTAACTACGGAGTAAAAAATTTAAGTTCCTATAAAAAATCAAGAACTTTTATGGAATCAAACCAAGCCTAAATGGTTGGATTCTTACTTTATGGATTGTAAAAATATGTTTTTCTAAAGCAAGAATTAACATATATTTCATCTATACTTTACAACTGATAAGTCCATTTTTGTACTTATTTTTCTCATCATAGTTGAGCGATTTTCAGATAGAAAAAAGAAAAATAAGGCATGTTTTAGATATTTTGGTTCAAGTTTCATGAAATCAGGTGAAAACCGCATTCATAATATGTTTGGCGAAATTTCAGGTCAATTGCGTGAAGAAAGTGGCATTTTTTCCCAACAAATGAATTGCTACGGAAGTTTGAAAGATATTTTGACCAATTTTTCAAAAAGAAGAGTCCACGAGATGAAAAAATCATGAAAGGAAGTTCAAAATCAAGAGGAAGTCGCCTATATGGCCACTTTTGATGAAAATGGACGATGCATAGAGACACATGTTCGTATTTTGATCATAACTTTGTGCATGATTGCTCAACGTTCGTGATACGAGTTGCATTACATTGACATCTTCTTTCTCTACAACTCTTATGAAGAAGACAGAACCAAATAACAATCGTATAATGGACATATTGCTCAAAGAAGTCAGACATTTGCAGTTGCGATGGAAAGTGATACATGCTCACCGTTTTGGTCATATCTCATAAACTACAAATCCAATGAATGTAAATAAAAAACCAGTAGTTAGCCAAGAAAGAGATCTACAACTTCGATGAAGACAACTTTTCCATTTGACGTGAGGCGGTCGATAAGGCGGCCGCCTTTCTGGGCGCCTACAAGTTTTAACAGTTTCAGCACACAGGGCTTTGCATGGCGACAAAATAATGGAAGGCTGTCGACAAGGGCCGGAAGGCGGACGCCCTCCGTGGCCGCCTGCGGCGCGGTGTGACTTTTGAGCTGCCGGTCGCTGAGACAAGACGGGAGGCGGCTAAAGAGGCGGCCGCCCTTTGGCGGATTTGACGCGTGCACGCAGCTTTGTCGGTGATTTGATGGAAGGCTGTCGACCATGGCCGGAGGGCGGCCGCCCTTCAGACCGCCTTCCACAAAACTCCGGCTATAAAAGCCATCTTCCATCCCCAACTCAAAACACACCATCTCACACCCAAGTCAGATCAAAAAGGGTGTCTTCTTCCTCCTCAAAGCTCGGATTTCCACCATTGTTGGACCTTCAACTTCAATCTTTCATATCTTTCTCATTTTGGCTCCAATTTGTAAGTTCTTTATATGAAAATTCATCTTCTCATCGTGTAGATTCTGAATATGTTGTTTTTTTCAAAATGTTAGTGATACATTCTCTGCATTAATTTTAAGAATTTCGTATTTTCCATATTTATTCAAGAAAAATAGTTCTTGTTGTTATATTAATCTCCTACTTAGATAAACTCAATACCTAGTATAAATGATGTTTATTTGTGATAGAAACAAAAGTTTAGATGTTGGAAGTATTCACTTTAATATTTTATTTTGTTATGATTTATGATCATATCTTATTTTATATGTAAAGCGTTAAAACTAGTAATGAGTTGTTGTAGTTAATTTACTATTGGGCATGAGTTGAATTAAAGAATATGGGTTGACCTTGTTTGACCGAAAATTAGGAGTTTAACTAATTTTATGGACTAGTTGTTTAAAATGATTAAATTGATTACTTAATAGATTTGGTCATTTCATTAATTAAACTTTGGAAGATTATTTATAAATTGTCTATGAGATTATAAATAGTTTAAGCCAAACATAATGAGCACATTAATGAAGCCTAGAGATAGGATAAATTAATGGATAGAATTTAATCTTTGTCTATGAGGAATAAATTCAATTGTTTAATATGAGAAATATAATTAATTAATGAAGTTGACCATTTTGTTAGCTAAAATGCGGGAAGTTATATCTATCTTGTCTATGAAATTAGAATATAATTTAGGCCAACCATTTTAAACACATTAATGAAGCCTAGAAATAGGATAAATTAGTGAAAGTAACTTAAATCTTGTCAATGAGAAAAGAAATTACTAGTCCAATCTTTATTTACTCCTAATTATTAGGTCCAGTCTAAAAGGATGTACCCATATTTTATAATTCAATTCATTGCCCTTCTTTGATCAATCCATTTAGAGTTTAATATTATATTTTTCATTTAGTTTATTTTGAGCCATTATTAGTATTTTGCATAATTTAATTTACTTTCCTTTTCAAAAATTAGTTTAGAAAATCAATCAAAAGTTTTAATTTGGAAAGCTTCCAATAATTTGCGATAACCTGTGACTGGATTTAAAATCAAGAAACTCCTCCGTCATTTCTCAAGAGACACGATACTCGGGGAAAAAACGAAAAGTTAGACTCCGTTTTACTACAACGCCGCGTAAGCGGTTATCAACAACTATGACAACAATTTCCTTTCAAAAAAACCATGACAACAATTTTTTATTGCCCTATAAAGTTTATCACCCTTACTTTTAAATAATTAATTTGTGGTTCTTAATTTTCTCTCCCCCTCCACATCCCTATATCATATAGTGTTTACAAATATCAGGTTTTAATAAAGTAGTTGAAAAGTTAAAAGTGTAATTGAAATTTGACTAGAGAAAATGTGAATTGATATTAGTTACATATTATTGTCAAAAGAGGAATATCTATTATTTTGGGGCATCTCAATAAGGAAAACAAAACAATTAATTCAGGCCGGAGAGAGTAATTCACAATAAGGGTGAGATAGTAATTTACTTTCTATCACATAATGTCAAAGGTTCAAATTACAAAGTATGCAATTATATAAAGTTATAATCATTTCAAACACAAGTTAAAACTAAATCAGGTGAACCCTAAATAGAATGAGAAAAATCAATTTTATTCACAAATAAACTATGAAATGTAATTGTGCGTAACAAGATAGGTTGTAGATCGCACGGTAGCAATGATAAAACATCTAGATCATGTACTTAAAAATTGAAAACACACACTAAATTAGCATGTGTATCTTATATGTATATATACATTGTTACATTTTGCATGTAAGTAATCACAATCATCTTGAAGATCGTAAAACAAAAAATATATACAAACAACTCCATTTTGTTAGGCCACTTATACACCTGTACAATTTCTTTGATGGAACAAAGCTTAATTTGTAAAAATTGAGTTTAATGTATTTAATCTAGTGTATAAATTATTACTTCTACTTTCTCTATTTACATTTAAATTATTTTGTTGTCCAAGTGTCACTTATTATGTTGTTGGCGATGTTGATGATGGTTAGTACCATTATTACTGTTTTTTAAAAACAATACTTTAACGATTCAAATGACATATCTTTAATATAAAAAATTCTGAATCAAATCACTAACAATGATTATGAATTGAACTGTTAGTAATTAAATAACTCATGCAGAGTATGTAGGATGAAACTAGGAAGTAATAGTTTGGCTCCAACATATTCCTCTATTCCAAGTCCCCTCCCACAATGAAAAGTTCAAGTCACCTCAATGTTTCAAGGTAGAGGTGGAAAGAACTGTTGGTGGAAATTGGCCGGATAAACCTGCAAAAAACGTTAGAAAATAATATAGCTCGAGTCGCGTAAACGCTGTCCTCAAGAAAGTATTTCCGACTAGTGAAAACCTTTCCCCAAGATGAAACGAGCTCTTCGGCGTAAGCCGGTAACAGAACAACGAGAGTAGAAAATTATTAATCCAGCAGAGTAAAAATAGAAGGGATGTTTTAGCTCAAAAATTATTTACTATTTCGCTAGTAATGCATTCTCTCTAGTATAAAAACAATAATAGGTGAAATTTTTAGGCCGATTCTATATCTGTTTCACCTCCATGCAAACGTGTATATATACACGTATATGCCCAGCAAATTCGTTGAATAAACTTTCAAAAAAAAAAAAAAAGAAACCGAACTTGCTGCCCAGATAGAATAACGTTCGTATACATTAAAGTTTCTAAACGTTGGAGCACACCATCAATTCCATTACACTCATTGAAAATGTCATTAAACATTAAGGATGTTAATGTTTCCCATAATAAGTGCTTAACGTAATTATTTTGAAGAGCTCAATTCATTATTTAATAATGGAGTATAGGAAAATATAAACTTGATTAATAAAGTAGTGTTATGAGATAATATATAAGATAATAATTTTATATGTAGTATATTTTATTCATTTGAAATACTTCTATTTTTCCAACAATCCCCCACATATTTCAAATGAATATTAGGTTAGAAAAATAATTTAGAAAATTTCTGCTGGATTAAAGGAATGAGACTTTAAGTTTGGTGTCCGTAGACTTGAAACCAAACCGAGACGATTAAGTCTTAATAAACCGAGCTTATGGTGAAACCTATAGTTTCTTGAAACCAACAAGCTACTGTTGGTAAATCAGGGTCTTAACGATCGTGTCTCACCCTGCACAATTTCTCGTTATTACGCCGTTGTGCGCCGTAAGGCCATGCGCGTGCTTGGTGTTCATGAGTGCTCTAGAAGTTTTGTCATGCTTCATGGAGGCGGCCCCACCTCACACTCATATAGGTGATATCATCAAGTGTGTACCGCTTTTGCACACCACCCTAAAATTCAGGGCTATGATAATCATTAAGAGCTTTTAGCTCACCCTCACAGAGAATGCGGTTTCTAGCCTATATCTCACATCATGGAAATGGACAAATTTAGTTAGGCTAGCAGAACTAAATGGAAGACTTGTTATTACCCATTTGAACTTGCTTCATGGGATCTCCAATCACACAAGTTGGGTTCCCATCCCCATTTGTTTCAAAGTGACACTAGTCCCATTTCCTTCGATGTTTCGGTTATCATTTTTCACCCTAGGGATTCTGTCAAAGGAGTAGCTAATTCCTTCTGACTTCACAAAATTAATGGAAATAATTCCATTGTCAAACATCATTGCACCACTTTTAAGGGTGAATGGATATCCACTATTTTAATTTATCTCATTTGAGTATACTCAGATGCCGTCGTTGTATCCCGGCAATACAACGGATAACTCTCAACAAAATATACCATCAATGTGACCCTCTAGTACATCGGATAATTATCAATAACATATATACCATCATTGCATCATTATAGTACAATGGATAATTCTCATATAACATCATTGTACCGCTCTAGAATAATGAATATTTCTCAATAAAACATATCATCGTTGTATCAATAGATTACAACGGATAATCTCAAAAAAAATACCATAATTAATGGTACGTCTCAAATATCTCAATAACCGCCTCAACGCAGTCCAATGATCCCTACTTGGGTCATGAGTATATCGGCTCAATCTTCCGACAACACAAACTATGTCGGGCCTAGTAAAATTTATAAAATGTAATAAACATCCAATAATTTGGATGCACATTAGCACACCATATCTTCAATTTAAGAAAAAATATATATGTGCTCCACTGTTTAAGTTTATGCAAAAGTAGCAAAGAGTTATAAAGCTCATTTTCACTCAAAGATATAGATAATAAAAATTAAACTAAGCACCCCCACAATTTTAAATATTTCAAAACAGGTGCATAACCATTCTAGACTTCATAGAGAGATAATTTATATCTCAACCTTTATTTGTACACAATGATTTTATCAAATAAGACTCGCCCTTTAAATTTAAATAAGATAAAATTTAGTTTATCTCAAAAAATCACCAATTAATGTGACAAAGAACTTTTGCCACCTCTAAACACAGTGTAGATGCTCTAATAAAATTTATATAAAACATCAAATATATCACAATTTTCTAGAGGTGCTCCCATATCACTAAATATCAATCTTAGAATATTTAGGAGTTTCATATAGTACGTATCGCGGAATCAACAGATATAAAGATCAACACAATTTGAATGCCACTTAAAATCCCGAAATAAAATTATATTCTCTCCACCTCATTTTTTTTTTTTTTTGGTTTAGATTGATCACAAACATCACAATGAAAATTATGATAGAACACAAACATCACAATTTTCTAGAGTCATTATATATATATATATATATATATATATATATATATATATATGTGTGTGTGTGTGTGTGTGTGTGTGTGTATATGTATGTATATATATATTATACTAGAAATCAAACCTCAAACATTTAACAATTAGATATAAGAATCATTTTCATATATTAATCTAGTATGTCACACATTATAGGAGTCGATCAAATAAGCAAAAGACATTCAATTCATTATTTCAGAAACATTGAGAACAAACAGTCCATGATTACAATAGCCTTTTCCCACAAAGACATTATTTTTAGTCATCACAATTTTGTCCGATTCAAAGGACACCTTAACTCCAGCTTTCCCCAAAAGTGAAACCGAGACTAAATTAGTGCGAATTTCAGGCACATGAAGCACATCATTCAAGGACAACGTTTTCCCCGATGTGAGCTTAAGAACAACTTTTCCCTTACCATGCACCTTGGTTGTGTGAGAGTCACCAAGATACACTTGTTCTTCACCATCCCCTATAGGAGTATAGGAGGAAAAAGCACTTTTGTTTTTACAAATGTGCTTGGTAGCCCCAGAATCTACCACCCATTCATTCACATCGGACACCAAACAAGTTTGAGAAACAACCGCCGCAATGACATCATCATTTTGAACCAAGTTTGCACTTGGTCTAGGTGGTTTGTTGTTTCTCATAGTTGCCCGTTTCCTACATTGTGCTGCAAAATGTCCCGGTTTTCCACACACATAACAATGTTTTTCCTTTTTAAAGCTGGTGTTAGATTTAGGCTTATTGTAATTGGGCTTGTTATTATCTTCATTATTATTATTATACCTCCTTTTGTTTTGAGTCTCCACTAGGTTGGCGTTGGAGGTGTATTGCATGATTTGAGCCTTGGAGCCCTCCCTCCTATTGGTGTCTTCAATGATAATGTGTGTGATCACTTCATTTAATGACATGGGTCCAAATTTGTGCTTGAGGTCGCGCTTGTAGTCCTTCCATGACTCGGGCAATTTTTCAATGAGGATCCCGGCAACAAAAGGTTCGGGCAGCTCGATCTGCACGCCTTTGAGGTCCTCCAAAAGCGTTTGATATTCATGAATTTGTGCCTTTATGTCCTTGTCGTCTTTCATTTCCCATTTGTAATAGTTTCCTATCACAAATTTTTGTTTGACGGTGTCCTCGGCTGTGTACTTGGCAATCATAGAATCCCATATTTCCTTGGCCACTTTTTTCGTGCAATAAACATCAAAGAGCTCGTTAGATAAAGTACTCAGAATAGTGTGACGGCAAACCTTATTCGAGTAGGTCCATTGTTGAAGGAGTTTGATGCCTTCGGGAGATTTGTCGTCGGGCATGGCGTGGGTGAGAGCATCAGCAACACCATGCATGTCAAGTGTTGAGAACAAACGTTCTTGCCATCTTTTGAAATTTGCCCCAGAAAATACTTCAATCTTGGAAATATCGGGAAATGGCTTCGCATGAACGGGCTGCATGTTGACGTGTGAGTCTGGCTGGGCGGAAGAATTTGCAGCTCCGTTTGGTGTGTCGGGAATGGAAATGATTTGAGCAGGTGTATCCGACGCCATACTTTCTTGAGATTGTTGGTGGAAATTGGCCGGATAAACCTGCAAAAAACGTTAGAAAATAATATAGCTCGAGTCGCGTAAACGCTGTCCTCAAGAAAGTATTTCCGACTAGTGAAAACCTTTCCCCAAGATGAAACGAGCTCTTCGGCGTAAGCCGGTAACAGAACAACGAGAGTAGAAAATTATTAATCCAGCAGAGTAAAAATAGAAGGGATGTTTTAGCTCAAAAATTATTTGCTATTTCGCTAGTAATGTATTCTCTCTAGTATAAAAACAATAATAGGTGAAATTTTTAGGCCGATTCTGTATCTGTTTCACCTCCATGCAAACGTGTATATATACACGTATATGCCCAGCAAATTCGTTGAATAAACTTTCAAAAAAAAAAAAAAAGAAACCGAACTTGCTGCCCAGATAGAATAACGTTCGTATACATTAAAGTTTCTAAACGTTGGAGCACACCATCAATTCCATTACACTCATTGAAAATGTCATTAAACATTAAGGATGTTAATGTTTCCCATAATAAGTGCTTAACGTAATTATTTTGAAGAGCTCAATTCATTATTTAATAATGGAGTATAGGAAAATATAAACTTGATTAATAAAGTAGTGTTATGAGATAATATATAAGATAATAATTTTATATGTAGTATATTTTATTCATTTGAAATACTTCTATTTTTCCAACAAGAACTTTGATGATTTTAAAAAATATAAAATTACATGGTTTTGGAGTAAATTGATTTTGCACCCTTCAAAAAAATTACATATGTACTCTATAAGTTCAAAAGTTTATGAAGGAATCGGGTGCAAACATACTTTTTTATTTTTTTAACCTTACTAAAATAATAAACTTCTGTGGAAAAAATCATAAAAGTTTACCAACAAAATAAATAAAAAATGGAAAAATAAAAACATATGATACTTTCATACTTAAGATCTCTAACTGATAATTTTCAATCATCTAATTCCTATATCAATAATTTTTACCTTTTAATAGTTAATTTATCTTTCAGTTTTTGTATTGATTGTTGTTTGCGTATCTCTAAAATCTACAAAATAAATAATTAAATAAATAATTATGAAGAACGAGAAGCGTACGGAATTGTAGATGATTGAACTGAGCCCAACAAATGCGTGTTGTCTTCTTAAGACAAATTTACCCGCTAGCAATTATCTCCCATGATCAAACGGTTTTCCGTTCCCGAAGGACTCCGACGAACCAAATGATGCACTAAAGTGGTGGAATTTGGATGAGGAAGATGAAGAAAGCTTGGAGCATTTTCAGACTTCTACTCGATTGAAAAACGCAGGCCTCGTAATGGGATTTATAATGCTCTGGCCAGGAGACACAATCCCAAAAGGTGCCTGTTAAGAAAAGGTAGCGACCCTTCTCTTAAATTTGCTTTTATCCGAAAATAATTTGTACAAAAAAATAATGTTTAAGTCTTAAAGCCATGCGAGTACCCACCTGTACCCATAACCCGACCCGACCTGTCCAGCCGGCCGGACGGCGGCGACGGCCCGAGACAAGTCTCACACGAACATTCATTTGGAAGGAATTTCTAATATGAATTTATAATCAGTTTAGATTAATTTATAATAGATATCGAGTCTATTCGAACCTATGATCCTATAAATAATTCATATTCGCTATCAATATTTTTCATCTAAATCTATATAAAAGTAACACCATTATCAGGGTATGCCCCGAACGCTACACTAGTAATGAACTATAATTGAGATTCATTTTGCTAAACTATAAGACTTTTTGAATTGAGAATTTTTTTGTACATAAAATGAGATAAGAGTAGTGTATTAAATAAATGTTTTTGTTCCTTTTTTCATTATTCTTAAATACTTTACCTAACTAGTGTATTAAGAAGTACATACTTGAGAAACACTTTAGCTCCAACTATTAAAAAAGATATATTTCATCCATAGAGAATAATTTGTTTCCCTTCCTAAAAGAGTACTGCATATGTTTTAGCTATTACTTAAGTAGTCTTTAGTGTAGAGAGTGTAATATATTTAGTCTAAAATACTCATAGGGTTTAGGAGTTAGCATTCTGGATTTAAGGTTTAACATGTATGATTAATGAGGTCACTCTTTGGGCTATTCAATTTGCCAATTACCACACATTGTTTAGCATTATTGACTGTACGACCCACAATGATTGGTTATTGGAGAGGCAGCACTTAGCAACCTGCAATATTTCTCGTTGCTTGACTTCAATGGTAGTAGCGGCTTACATATTTTGGGTAGCCGGATCACCAAAGCAGTTCCCCACACCGAGGGAGAATAAAACGTAAGAGAGCATTGGGACCCGGACAAGAACCGCCATAGAACAGAACTAACACAACAATAAAAGAATAGTCGAGTTGGGTCACACTCCTACCAAGAATCTCCTATAGCAATGTCACCTTCAGCTTAGTCATATAGAGAACGACGACAAGGCATCCCCTCTCTCCCCAATCGCCCACTCATCCTAGTCACACTACCAGCATAGATCGACGATTCTTAAGAATTCAAGACATCAATCGGTTGTATTCTTTCAGACATTTTCATTAAAATTATTGAAAACTATAGATGCCTTAAGGACATATCTACTTCACCGGTTATAAGCAGTCCTTACTCAGGCATGTGTTAGTAAACGGTGCATTAAATAAGTAGTGCGCATGCTAAAAGCACACATGCACTTCACACGATTTAAAATATTGTTTAATATTAAAATGTTCAAAACAATCTTATACATACGCACATTCATATAACACATGTATATAACATAACATAATATATACTCCCTCCGTCCCTTAAAACTTTGTCGTCTTTCCTTTTTGGGATGTCCCAAAAAACTTTGTCACTTTCCCTTTTAATCAATTATTTTGTGGTTTCTGTTATTTATCTCTCTTCTATACAAACCTCAACCACACAATTTTTACTTTATTATTTTCCGTGTCGGTCAACTTTGGCAAAGTTTTAAGGGACGGAGGTAGTATAACATAACATAAGATAACACAACATAACATAATACTACCTCCGTCCTCCTAATATTGGGACGGAAGAGAGTAATGTAATTTTTAAGAAAAGTAGAACTGTGTGGTTAATAATGAGTTGATAAAATGGGAATAAAGTAAGAATGAATTAGAGCCACATAAATGTTACCAAATATGATACTCCATCCGTTTCATAATCTTTGACACACTTTCCTTTTTTGGCTGTTTCACAATCAATGGCACACTTCCTTATTTCCTTATTTGGTAAACAAATCTTTACCAAAACAGTGCAAAACAGTGTTCAAACAATGCCAAACAGTGTTCAAACGGTGCCAAACAGTGTACTCTACAGTAAAATTTACCCTTCAGTGACATTTTTCCTTAATTCTTGACAAGTCAAAACTGTGTCAAAGATTGTGAAACAGAGCGAGTATGAGACAATAATAGAGGGACATCCAAAAATGAAAAAATGGGACAATTATATGGGGACAGAGGGAGTATAATATAATATAATACAATATAATATAATACAATACAATATAATATAATATAATATAATATAATATAATATAATATAATATAATATAATATAATATAATATAATATAATATAATATAATATAATATAATATAATATAATATAATATAATATAATATAATATAATATAATATAATATAATATAATATAATATAATATAATATAATATAATATAATATAATATAATATAATATAATATAATATAATATAATATAATATAATATAATATAATATAATATAATATAATATAATATAATATAATATAATATAATATAATATAATATAATATAATATAATATAATATAATATAATATAATATAATATAATATAATATAATATAATATAATATAATATAATATAATATAATATAATATAATATAATATAATATAATGTAATATAATATAATGTAATATAATATAATGTAATATAATATAATGTAATATAATATAATGTAATATAATATAATGTAATATAATATAATGTAATATAATCTAATGTAATCTAATGTAATATAATGTAATATAATCTAATGTAATCTAATGTAATATAATGTAATATAATATAATATAATATAATATAATATAATATAATATAATATAATATAATATAATATAATATAATATAATATAATATAATATAATATAATATAATATAATATAATATAATATAATATAATATAATATAATATAATATAATATAATATAATATAATATAATATAATATAATATAATATAATATAATATAATATAATATAATATAATATAATATAATATAATATAATATAATATAATATAATATAATATAATATAATATAATATAATATAATATAATATAATATAATATAATATAATATAATATAATATAATATACTCACTCCGTCCCAATTTGATTTGCAAAATTTTCTATTTTGGTTGTTCCAAAATGATTTTCCACTTTCTATTTTAGGTATGTAGATAAAAATAAAGTGACAAATTTACCCTTACATTTACTTTTTTTCATTAACATAAAGACATCTACTTTTAAGAAGATGGACAAAAGTGTAAAAACCAGACATCATTTATTGTTCTCCCTTAATCCTTGTGCCAATCAAAGTTTGCAATTCAATGAGGGACGGAGGAAGTAATATAATATAATAAAATATAATATAATATAATAAAATATAATATAATATAATATAATATAATATAATATAATATAATATAATATAATATAATATAATATAATATAATATAATATAATATAATATAATATAATATAATATAATATAATATAATATAATATAATATAATATAATATAATATAATATAATATAGTATAATATAATATAATATAATATAATATAATATAGTATAATATAGTATAATATAGTATAATATAATATAATATAATATAGTATAATATAGTATAATATAATATAGTATAATATAGTATAATACAGTATCATACAGTATAATACAGTATCATACAGTATAATACAGTATCATACAGTATCATACAGTATAATACAGTATAATACAGTATAATACAGTATAATACAGTATAATACAGTATAATACAGTATAATACAGTATAATACAGTATAATACAGTATAATACAGTATAATACAGTATAATGTAATATAATGTAATATAATGTAATATAATATAATATAATATAATATAATGTAATATAATGTAATATAATATTATAATATCATATAATATCATATAATATAATATAATATAATATAATATAATATAATATAATATAATATAATATAATATAATATAATATAATATAATATAATATAATATAATATAATATAATATAATATAATATAATATAATATAATATAATATAATATAATATAATATAATATAATATAATATAATATAATATAATATAATATAATATAATATAATATAATATAATATAATATAATATAATATAATATAATATAATATAATATAATATAATATAATATAATATAATATAATATAATGTAATATAATATAATATAATGTAATATAATATTATGTGTATAATACACATAATACAAAGTATTGTTTATATAATGTATAATATTAAATATAATATATATGTAAGCAATTGTTTAAGCAGCCATTGTATTTAATTTATATGTCTTATTATTAACTTAATAGGGCGTTTGGTAGGATGTAAATGAATTACTTTGCATGCGAAGTGTGAGAACATAAAATGTGTATGTTGTTTGCTTTGATTATTTAATGCAAATTGTAGCCTTTTTTCTAAACATTTCACAGTGTAAAGTATTGCTTTACCATGCAAACTGTACTATGTAAAGTATTTTACGTGGGGTGTGTGGTAAAATACTTTACATGATTTTTATGAAGTAAAGACTTTGCGTGCAATTTAAAAATTAATTACACATCTAGCCAAACAATATAATCTATTTTACAAGTGAAAGTTAACACGTTATGAGTAACTTAACATGGCTTATTTGGTCATTTTATTTTAAAAAATATTTATTAATTGAAAAGTCAAACCCTACCCATAGTAGAACCTTAGAAGTTGTTCTCTTCACCTGATCTGAATGTTTCTGATCTGAATTTTTTAAGTTCTGATCTGATCTGATCTGATTTTTCTGATCTGATCTGATCTGATATGAATCTTTCTGATCTGATCTGATCTGAATCTGTCTGATCTGAATGTTTCTGATCTGATCTGAATCGGTCTAGTCTGATCCGAATGTTTTTGATTCTGATTTGATCTGAATCCTTCTGATCTGATCTTAACTTTCTAAATTGGTATATAATAATAAGAATAATAACCATAACAATAATAATTATAATAGTAATAATAACTATTATTATTATTATTATTTAATAAGTATAATAAAAATAATACTCTGTAACAATAATAATAATAATAATAATAATAACAATAATAGTAGTAGTAGTAGTAATAATAATAGTAATAATAATAGTAATAATAATAGTAATAATAATAGTAATAATAATAATAATAATAATAATAGGTAGTAGTAGTGATATTAATAACCTTTTTAACAATATTATAAATATTTGACAATAAACGAAGCAATATAAAATTCTTGCACATAATGAGAGTAACGTAGAAATGACAAACACATGAGTTTGTTCTTATTCAACTCAATTGCAAAAAAACAAAAAATATAAATGTACTTAGTGCCATATTCATTTAACGTCGAATTGAGCGCCAAATTTCAGCAGCTATTTGTGCTTGCACTTTTTCCATTTCTTGTTTGCGTTCTGGATTAAACATGCTAGTGTCACTACTTGGCTCAATGGTGATTGCACTTGAAATTGGAATATCCAACTCGTAAAGACGGATAAAGTTATGCAGTGCGAAAGTTAATACCATAATCACAAGTTGATATTGAATTTCCATTAACGGAATCCTATGTAGTATCCACCATCGGGGCTTTAGTACAGTGAAACATCTTTCGAATGGTGAAAATATTATATATTTAGATTAGATGGATTGGTACAGAGTACTCAATTTTAGCATTTATTAAAAAATCAATACTAAAAATTACTCCGTAAAACATAATAGTAATATATAATATTATATAATAGTAATAATAATAGTAATTATATTAATAATAATAATAATGATAATAATAATAAATAACAATAATAATAGTAATAATAGTAATAGTAATAGTAATATATATAATACATAATAATATAATGCTTCCAATTTGGTATGAATATTTCTAAACTAATCTGATCTGATCTGAATGCTTCTGATCTGATCTGAATGCTTCTGATCTGATCTGCATGCTTCTGATCTGATCTGAATGCTTCTGATCTGATCTGAATGTTTCTGATCTGATCTGAATGTTTCTGATCTGATCTGATCTGAATCTGAATCTTTCTGATCTGACCTGATATGAATAAAATAAGAATAAGGAATAAGTATTAAGATTTAGACGAAGAGAACAACTTCTTACCCTCCAAAACACACACCCAAACCTGCGTCAAAACTAGACCTGTACAAACATGAGTTTGAGTCGGTTTCGGGTCGGGCTTTATCTAAAACTCTGTCCATTTATGTGCTCGGGCCCGGGCCGACCCGGATCAAATGGGCCACCTCCCATGTTCAAGTCCGCCCATAGTAGCGGGCCTGATAGTCCACCGGGCCGCCCGGCCCGGGAAAGTTTACCATTGTTTAAATTTTATAAAAATGTTGACAGGATTTTTAAAATAATATCACACCATTTTAAAAGTAATTAATGAACAAACTAATATAAATATGCCTTCATGATGTACACAAACTATTTTGAACAATTGATCTGCTCTAGTAATCTAGTATGTTTTTTGTTTGGCTACTCAACTGCTACTCTGCCGATCAAATGGGGGTAAGGTTAATTAGATCTTCTTTGAGGCCATTAATATGATGGGTAATAAAATGTAGGGTTCACTAATGGGAAATAAAGAGTAAGTAATACGAAGTACTCCGTAACTAATGAGGTTCATTGTGTACGTATGAGTATAGATATAAATATATAATACGTATTATATAAATTAATACTAGTAATGTGTACTACATATATTATTAATTTTCCGGGTCAGGCTTTTTTACTACAATATAACACAATCCTGCCCATATTTTTTACGGGCCAGGCTCGGGCCGGCCAAGTGGGCACTTATACATGTCCAGTCCCGCCCATTTATATGGGCCTGCCGGCCCGTGTTGCACATGGCTAGTCAAAACTTATATGAACAAAAGGCACTCTATCGTCGAATGTGTGCAGAGCAACAACAACAAGAAAAAAAAATCTCATTTTTGGCGCTAACATTTCAAAGTTCGTGGAGGAAAGTGGGGCTAAGGAGAAGGGTTGAGAGACTTCTATAGAGAAATAATGGCTGTAGAAGTAGAAGCAGCAGAGCGGCAGCTCAACATCGAAACTGAAGCGGGCGAAATCACTGATACTCAATTGGACGGACCCTCCCAATCTTGGCCGGTCATCAACTACGCTCTTCCGCCCTATCGCAGTTATCATTTTTTCAACCAATTCCGAACCCCTTCAAACCCTAACAAGTTTTTAAAGGGAGTCAAATGGTATGCATTTCTACCCAATACCCATGGATATGTGTTTGTTCAATTGAAAATTCGATTACTTTTTCTACGTATTCTGCTTGTTTGTAGGTCACCTGATGGTTCTTGCTTCCTCACTTGCTCTGACGACAACACTCTTAGTATATTCTCACTGTAAGCTAGCACTTCCCTTCTTAAAAGATAGATTTTTTACTTTACCTTCTTGAATAACTTTCACTGAAAAAAGTTTAAAATAAAAATTGAACAATCTTAGAGGTGGTTTATGAAATGAATAGCAAGACTTGTAAATTGTGTATATCAGGCATTTGCATTTATGATATGATATGAAATTGCTCTCACTCATTAATCCCCTCCTTTCTTTAGACCCTATGACGAAAGTGGATACCTTATAGCTGACAGCTCAGCAGCTGAAGAAAGCGGTAAGCTTTTTCTGATAGGCAGTCTCTTTGGACCTCTAGATTTGTCTTCTTATGTTATTGCCCTTCTAAGTAACATATTGCATGAATGGTCTGATTATTAAATCTGTGCTGCATTGACATAAAACTTGACTGAAGTTAACTCTATACATTGACAGTACGACCAACAATATGCAGATTCCTATTCAGCAAGTGTAGTGATTAGTGAAGGAGAATCTGTTTATGACTACTGCTGGTACCCTTGCATGTCGTCTGCAAGTATGTCAGTTACTGTTAAATAATTAGTTAGTAAATTCATCTGATGAAGTCAATAGCAGGTCCTGCTGATGTAATATAAATTTGGTTAATGTGATTCAGGTCCAGATACATGTGTTTTTGCTACTTCTACTCGTGACCATCCTATTCATCTGTGGGATGCTTTTTCTGGACAGGTGTGTGATATAATCATCATTCAAGGTGTTGACAAAGTTAATGATGTTTTGTCATCAATGGTTGATATTCACTTGTAATTTGCAGCTACGGTGCACATATCGTGCTTATAATGCAGTGGATGAAATTACAGCTGCCTTTTCAATTGCTTTCAACCCTTCAGGGACTAAGTAAGCTTTCACTATTTCAGTTTTGATTTGTTAAACAGTTGAAAACTATGTTTTACAGATGATAAAGTCTATTCATGGTGCCTTAAGATGATAAAGTCTATTCATGGTGCCTTATCTTATTCAATGAGAAAATTCGTAGTATTGATTGTCGATGCTGCTGGTTACTGTTATTTGTTTTTGTTTATTGTAGTTAAAAAAAGTCAAAGTGTTTTTGTTATTTATCCTTTCCAGGATATTTGCAGGATACAACAAATCTCTTCGAGTATTTGATATTCACCGACCTGGAAGAGATTATGGACACCATTCCACTTGTGATGGTAAAAAGGAAGGGCAATCAGGTATTTTTTTGGTCATGATCAAATTATAAAGACTTTGAAGAAAAAAATTAGATGTAAGTTGGTCATAAATATATTAGTTCAAATCTTGTGTACCACATCCCTCTATCCCATTGGACTTTGCCCTTTTTTGTACCAAAACTTTTTTCACTTTCCATTCAAAATAATTAGTTTGTGGTTGTGTTTATTTCTCTCTCTGCACAAATTCAACCACAAATTATTTACTTTCCTTATTCCTTATTCCCGTCGATGCAATTTTGGACGGGATTTTCACTATGGGTCATCCGGAAACAGTCTCTCCCTGCTTTAGTACAGGGGTAAGACTGCGTACATCCGACCCCCCCTTACTCCACCGTAGGTGGGAGCCTTTGCGAATTGCGGCACTGGGGTAAATGAAAATGAAAATGAAAATGATTCCACACATAACTTTAAGTTGGCAATGTCCGATGGGACAAAGGTATTATATATAAGACACATTTTATCATGATTTCGACTAATTAAAACGAGTGCTATTCAAAATATGGTCTTAGAGGATTTCAATTCTAAATATTGTTTTTCCTTTTAGCTTTATGAACCTTGCGCTTACTATATGTTTCCATGTCCTATTTCATACAACATTTATTGCACTCACCCACTCAGGGATTTTGAAATTGGCCTGACCCTGAGTACAATTAGGTTTGGATCTGCTGCTACTTCTGCTCCCCAAGGAGTAGAGGTACAATTAGGTGGGGCCTAGGCAGGGATTAAATGGGTCTACCTGGGAGTTTTGCAAGAATGCTCACAATATTTTCTTTTCCAAGTCTTTTACTTATTGTGTTCTTCGTAGTGACAAAAATTTCAATTTTATGACAGGCATCATATCCTCAATTGCGTTCTCTCCTAGCCAGAATGGATTGCTAGCTACTGGTTCATATAGCCAAAGCACTGCATTGTATAGAGAAGATAACATGGAATTGCTATATTTATTGCATGGCCAAGAAGGTGGCGTCACTCAAGTAAGTCCGGACTTGGCCATCGTTTTTTAGTCACAACTCATGTACATATACTTTTGAAAGTAAAGTAAGCAATATACACTCTTTCAGGTGCAATTTTCAAAAGATGGAAACTACTTGTACACTGGAGGGCGTAAGGTAATACTGAAACTGTGCATGTTGCGTCATGTACCTATCTTGAAGTATTCCAACAAAGCTATTCTATGTTGGGTATAGGATCCTTATATTCTCTGCTGGGACATCCGGAATACTGTTGAAGTTGTTTACAAGTAAGTCCTACTGTTTTCTTGGATACTCATTGTCCTTATGGGATGACTTGTTAGTTGAATAGTGTCATCATAAGTGTTCAATGCTTATTTAGTTGCTGAAAGTGTGTAGAGTTGATGTGTTTAATTGACAAAAGAAAATGCTTCCTTCAACTCTTCAAGCATAGAAGTAATATTTTTAATGTCTCGATTGATATGCTCCCTCTGTCCAATAAACAAAGAGTTCCCTTTGAAGACTTACTTTTGTCCTAAAAAGAGTCTCATTTAAACAAAAAAGCCAGTTTTGTTTATATATATATATATATATATATATATATATATATATAAAGTGTTCCAATTAAGTTACAGATGTTAAGTTTTATTAAACCAACAGATAAATTTAAACAACAACAGCAACAGATAAATTTAAACATAGCTAAAGTTTTGATTATTAATAGCTGTACCTTACTATATTTAGATGTTGTACATTGGCCAAATAAAACTCATTTTTGGGGATGGAAGTAGTAATTGTTATACACTCCATAGTCCATAATAATGATGAGCACTGGTTAGTTCCATCTTTATTTGCAGTAATTTGTTTCACTATTAAATGGTTATTATCAAAATAAGTGAGAATGATCCAAATCTAATTTATTGTGCCCAGACCACACAAATTATTGACACAAAAAGTTAAGGATATTTGACAAACATTTTATTGAAGACTTTCCTCGAAGAGTAATTAGTAGTACATTGGAGAAAAACCATTTCCATGCGTGTTTTAAAAAAAATTATATTCTGAATGTTGTATACTGTAGTATTTTAATTCATGTTGATTTTAGGAAGGCTACATCTTTCCATTAGATCTAATTCAACTTGGGTAACTGCTATGGTTGTTCTTTGTTTGGCTTGAATGGATTTTGGTCACTGTGTCATTGATACATGAACCTTATTCACCATCTGCTTCATGTTGACTTGTGATTAAAACCACTCTTGACTTCATTTATTACATTCAATACAATTGCTTAGAAGAACTTTAATTTTCACTATCCCTGTCTGCAACATGTGAACAGGCTGTACAGATCATCTGAAACTACCAACCAGAGAATATATTTTGATGTTGAACCCCACGGTCACCACCTTGGAACTGGTGGGCAGGTATCAACGTACATCAAAATTTGAACAATGTCGCAGAGACACTCAATGCTATAAATAATTTTAGGCTAATTTGTGTTTATGCATTTGCTCTTCCAGGACGGTTCTGTTCATATTTATGATCTACAAACAGGACATTGGGTATCAAGCTTTCAGGCTGCATCAGGTTTTTCACTTCATTTCTGTTTGTAAAAAAGAAGAAATTTTGCCTGTCAATATTTTCTCCTAAGATTTTTGGAAATCTTGATTTCCTTTGCAGATACTATTAATGGTTTCTCCTACCATCCTTTTCTGCCAATGGCTGCAACTTCATCTGGGAACCGAAGATTTTTAGATTTTGACGATTCTTCTGAGGATTTGGTCCTGACCGGTATTTCCTTTAAACCCCCATGGTATATAAAAACTGACTTTTTTTGTTACAATTGCTATATTTCTTTATTTTGTTTTGCAGAAAATGAAAACTGTGTCTCCGTGTGGAGTTTCTATTCATCCACCGAGAGAAGCACTGCAAGTAGTAATGCTGATTTAGACATTGAAGATGAGCATCCTGAAGGTGTTCTAGTGGGCCAACAAGAGCTGGATAGGCTTCACCAGCAACCATGAAAAAACACACCATCACAAGTCTCTTTGCCTCACTCATCTTGCTGTTCATCAGCAAAATCATAATCCATTTATCTGTTGGGTTGTAACTTGTAAGGGTTTCTTTTAATTTATGTTTATTATTTCCACACATATATTTTACAATGTTTTTCTTTTTGAATCTCACATCATTTACCAGCTTGTTCATTGGAATGAAACACTATGGAATCAGGGTAAAAAATGTTAGGGAAAAACAAGAAAAGTATGTAGCAGAAAATAAAATGTTGAGCAGAACAAAATAATCCCTCAACAGAATGAATTGTTTTTTATATTTATTCAACTTTAATTTTATTTACTCTTCAATAGTATAATACTACCAATCGAAGCATGTGTCAAAAGTTATCAACATTAATCATATTTCATTCGTATATGCAATTCTGAGGCAAATATAATCAAACATACCATTTTTTAACATTTGCTTTCCTTCCACTCGGCGAGATGCATAGTTTTAAAATTGCTTTCTTTCGATTTTAGACTTTTAACACATTCAAATAAACATTAGTTGTGCTTGATATAATTGTACAGTAATACAATACATACGGAGTATACGATTCATAAAGTGCATGCGATTGTAAAAGAATGATAGTTCTTCACAAAGCACAATTCAATAACTTCAAACTCTTAAATCTGTTCAAATTCTTCTCCCTCCATCATAGACACCCAAGCTCCACGTCTTCACATCTCTTAGTCCCGGGCGGGCCAGCGATTCAGGAATGGTGGACCCGGGACCGGCCCGGGTAGCCACCGGGTCCGGTCCGGGCCTCCGTTTTTTTTTTTGCTTTCTTAACCCCCCTCACCCCCACCCTACCAAACCCCCCCAAACCCATCCTAACCATCAAGCCCAACCCGGGTGGAACCCCAAAAATGAAAAAAAAATTAATTTTGGCCCGGGACCGGGCCGGACCCGGCCGGACCGGTTCGCCAAATGTGAGACCCGAGCCCAGACCCGCCTTACCCCCGGGCCTAGGCTCGACCCGGACCTGAGAACCGGACAGGTCCCGGTCTTGCACAGTAGCGGGCTGGTCCGGTCCACGGGCCGGGTGGCCCGACTTGAGTCCAACACTAGACTCAGGCTGGGTGAACCGAACCAGAACCGGCTGAACCGGCACTGTTCCGGCCCGGACCGGCCTGGTGCACGGTTCGTTGAACGGTTCGGGCCAACCGGCCCGGCACTGTAGAGGGACGGTTCACGGGCCTCCCAAATCACAGGCCGGTTCGGACCCAGTTCGGTTCAATTTTTTTTTTTAGTTTTTCATATTTTTAAAAGGTAAATGGGTTGGGTGTTTTGGAGGGGTTTGGGGGTGGGGTGGGGGGTAGGAAGTAATTAGAAAAAAAAACATTTTGAAATGGAAGTTTGAGAGTAGAGTAATGGGTGTTGGGTATAGCTTCTCCTTCAATGAAGAATCTTGATGAGGCCTCTTCACTTCTTCTACATTCACATAAAAAGAGGATTGATGCTAAAAGTTTATCATAAATAAAAATGAAGGAGACGATTGATCTTAGATTCCTTATGTATATGAAAATCTTCATCGCTAAGTATCATGAACACAGTTACACAGTAGAAGACTACAAGCAATTGTATCATATAATTTGCTAAAGATGGGATTATCAGAAAATCCCCCCCCCCCCCCCCCCCCCCCCCCCTATTCTAGACTTTTTACTTGTATTAAATTGTAATTGACAAGCTGAATACATACAGCGGATGGGTACCCTCTCGTAGGGTTTGAAGTTTTTCCGCCGCCTTTGCCTCGGCATAGGATGTAGCGGCCGGTTGGGTTGTGCTTCTCGTGTAGTGATATGTGTTTTGTTGATTTCTTGATTTTTTCTGTTGGTTGTGAAAGTATTTATGGAGTAGCTGTTAATTCGAGTTCTTTGGTTGCGTTCCTATTTCAATAAGCTCTGGTTTTCTATTAGCATTTCATCAGGGAATAGTTTTGGTAGTGTTGGGTTGCAAGATTGTTTCCTGTTTCCATTCATAAATTATTTTGAAGAACCCACTTTGGAAGCATGAAGAGTCTGTATATTGCTAGCAAAAAAGGCTGCTAACAAACAAGTTAATTGGGTTCCAAGCACCCCGCTTCTTTTCGTCCTTGATTTGGTTAAAGCTTGTGGTTGAGGATGGGAGAGAGATTGGAGGAAGTAGGGACAGGTTGCCTACTGGGAACTCTGGAACATTAGGGCGGCCAATTGATGCTTGTCTGCTTGAAGAGGAGGGGGCAGGCTTGGTTGTTGGTGGAAGAAGAGGGACTATGGGCGGCGGCAATGCAGACCTTCGCCCGACTATGCTTGGCACCCTTCTCATGGAAAAGGAAATAAGGCTTCTTCATTTGAGGGATGTCTTGGCCTTATTCTGACTGTCAGGGAGAGGTGTATCGATCAAAGACACCGGGGAGGATGGCCTGGTGTTCGGAAAGGCAAGCAAAACTCTGGATCCATAAAAAACGAGATAGAGGTGGGCTCTGGATACAAGGCCCGTCTTGGTCTTTGAGGTTTCTCTGCCTATCAAACCGCCGTTTCAAGCTCCTCATTGTTTTTGGAGGTTTCTTTAATTCTAGTTGATATTTTTTTATTATTGTAAGTTTTTTGAGTCAGACTTTGCTATGCTTGTGTGTTTTCTTGTTTCCTTTAGAAGATTAGGACGGGCGATGAGGGATTTCGATCGCTTTTGGTTCAGTTGCGTCTATTTTAGGATCATTGAGTTAAATCGCTTTTGGTTCAGTTGCGTCTATTAGCTCTAAGTTTAGTTCAAAGGCCGGTGGTGCAAACATAAATAGTAGGACTAGATTATCAAATCTCTCACATTATCAGCCATTATTCTATCAAAATTTTGTGCAACTATACAATCTTATATCATGCATTCAATTTGATGCAATGTCTTTTTAGGCCCAGAATGCCTCCATGTATGTAGCCCTCTCTTTAGGGCCAGCCTTAAAATTATTATGTCTTTTATTGAACTGAAGAAGTGTTATGTTGAACTACATTGTTATATTATGATATTATTAGACATTAAGACATGATAGTGATCGTTGTATGAAACTATTATTTTGGGAAGAAACTACTTCTCATACCTATGGAAAACATGATATTCATAGTTAGGAACAACACACTATTTATATTTAGGAAAATCGCCTTATTTTGACTTCTACTTGTGACAATTTATTTTTAGTTGTTTGAAGAATTTAATTCAAATACGCAAGACTTAGGACATGACTTTTTGACATTTTTCTTGTAATTGTTAGCTTTTAAAAACAGATGTTTTTGTAATCATTAGTTTTTAGAAACCAAAATTTTATTTAAGGGAACAGACTGTTAGGGCTGTGTACGACAATTTTATATAATACCCATAGTATAATCAGTCTATTTTTTTGCACAAATAAATAAATAAACTAAATCATGGATATCGGATAAATCCATAAATTTATACATAATTACCCATTGTCAATTGCCAAAAATTATTAAATGTTAAAAGTACCTAAAAGTCGAAGTGCAAATGCCCAAAAGCACAAAGACAGAAAGTCTCAACCCAAAATTTCCTCAAATCCCTAATGCCAATAAGAAGTAAAATCCTAATGGAAGCAGAGTAGCAGGGACGCATGTATCGTGAATTAAATATTTAGGAATTAAATTTTACACCTTTACTTGATTAATACAAACGTGAAAGATTTATCTCAGCAATTACTCATAGCAGCTTCTAAAAATCTTAAATATTAAACAACCTCAAAATATCAGACATATAACTAAAAATATTATAGTCCTCTTTATTTAGTACAAAAGCTAAAAGAAAACGTATGCTTGCCAAACTTGCATTTTAGACCCCATTCAAACTCATATTTTATACATGTTAGCACGCATGTACTAGTCTAAAACGTATCCTTTTTAACTTTTCACGTAGAATCGTAGATTAAGATAGTGAGAATTGTGTAATTGAGATTATACAAATACTATCCTCCATTTTTTTTAATTGCAACATATTGACTTTTTGCACTGTTCACATGATCTACTTTGACTACATTTTACACTATTATTTTATGGAAATTATTTTTTAAAAAAACATTTTCAATTCATCTCATTACAAATTTTCAAAATCTGATTTTTAATAATTTTTTATTAATAGAGATTAAAATATACTTACGGTCAAATGTGTGCGTTGGCAAATGTGTCAAGGTTGACTGTTGCAAATATATTTTCGTTCTTTAAAATTTTGTCATCTTTTCATTTTTGCTTGTTCCACTAACTTTGTCATTTTTTATTTTAAATAAAGAATTCATGGTTCGAGTTAGTTCTCCTCCGTACAAACCTTAATCACAAAATTTTACTTTATTAATCTTCGTGCCGGTCAAATTTGACATAAAGATGGAGGAAGTATGAAACATATTTATTTATCATAATAAGAAAATGAAATTAATTTGAGAACAGACAAAAACAGAAAATATGAAGATAAACGAAAGGAATATCATTCTGTCGCTTATAATTTCCTGGCTGGATTGTAACTCAATCTCTTGCAAATGCGTCCTATATAGAGGCCGTTTGGCAACCCTCATTTTCGACTTATCAGGCTTATCAGCCAACTTTTTTACCAAACACGTAAACTTTGCTTTCGCACGCTGAATTGCGTAATCAGCCGAAAAAGTAAGGTTGGAGTTACTTTTCTGGCTGTATTGGCTGAAGTTACTGTAGATGATCATTTTAGCTATTTTTACATATATTTTTTTCTTTATTTTATTAATAAAATATATTTTAAAAATATTTTTTTCTTGTATCAGCAGAATCAGCCAATGCAGCCACTTCATCCAGAACTTCATAAATTTCAGCAGAATCAGCCAAAACAGCCCATTTTCGTGCTACCAAACGGGCTCATAATGACTAAAATTAGACAATATTCACCATGTAATAACTTATGACCTGGGTTTCCAAAATAGGAGTACAATGTTTTGGAATATTAAAACATACAAATCATTTGATACATGATTATGGGTATAGTAAGAGCACTAGATCGGACTGAACTGTTGGAAAGATTGTTTTTTGGATAATTTTTTACATGATTTTTTTCACACTAATAATTAAACTTTTTTTAAAGTTGTAGTGGCCCGGGCCTAACAAGCCTCTAGCTCCGCTAGTGGAGATGGCTAACAATACAAGTCGAAGCGCTCACAAGTCATAAGTATCCCAATATCTCTAAAGCGCATGAACAACTTGATTCAATTCCCTGACTATTGACTACCATTGTATATAAAAAAATGTCTT